TCCTATTTCATTTCTGCCATCCAACGCGTTCATGATGGAATGCCGTGGTGTATAGAACTCTCGTCCCGTCGCCCGCGCAACTCAGCCTCCCGTCTCGCCCTGGGCTCGTGCAGGATGGATTAATGATGAAAAATTGATTTTCTTTTCCGAGCCCGGTCAGCATCGCCGAGAGCCGCTTGTACGCCTGCTTCGCGACTCTCTACATGCCATTGGCGTCCTACCTTGCCTGGAACGGGGTGCCATGGATGTGGGTGGGCGTCACCTATGGTTCCATGCCAGGGTCGTCCGCGGACCTCGGCTGGATCCTCAGGTATGTCTGGCTGTGCAAATCTTCTTGCTCACTGCCCATTCTGTCTCTCGGCAACTTCTGTACTTCCAGATCTCAATGATTCTTGGGTGGGATTTTCACTCACCGGCAGTTGTTGCGGATGACGTGATTCACTAGGGTGTTGCGGTCCATGACTACAATTTGGTTTGACCCAAACATGGCCGTGAGTATTTGCAATAGGGTGGAAGGTTTAAGGTTTGGCCCAAATATCGTCGTAACCTTCGCTTCAATAGATGATATGTAACGCTCGCTTCTTGAGAAGAAATTTTTCCCTTGCATGCCGTGCTAGTCGTTCTAGATTCATTCTTGCTGTCACGGTTTGATCGACCTACGCATATTTCAAACAAACGTTGGCGGCATCTCGCAAGCACCCCATGAAAAACGGTTATTTTGCACGTACCTCTTTTCTCACTGAACTCGTCTATATCAGCGCTAACATTTCTCTTCCAACCTGCTTTGTATGCGAGATGTCTCTTGCTGATACAGGGTAAATGTAAGTTATGAAGATGTTTTTTGACATTCCCGTTGGGTATCGTATTGCGCGGCACTTGAAGCATTTTTTTGTACTTTTCGTGCTACGCCCCTTCGTGGTGGACAGGCTGGGCCTTCTACAGGACGAGTGAGTGCTCTGTCTCCTACTGTATTTCGCGCTACTGACTACCGATCTGTGACGTATGCGATCTATGGGCCGACCCCCTGAGCCCTACACGCGAAGCTAGATTGCCCCCGGAAGACGCCACGATGCCCAATGCCTAAACCATACGCACTGCCTTGATAGGTTTACATAAAGAGGTTTCCGACAAGCTTGCATG